CACCTGGCCTGGGGTAGGGTGAGAATACCTCAAGTATGGGGATGGCTAGCCCCATAGAGGCCTTGGCCTTCAGCCTCGGGTTTTCATACCCTTTGTCTCTCCTTCTTCTTTTTAGTTATGTTTTAATTTATGGTTTTATGTGTTTATATATTTTATGTTCTAATGTTTATTGTGAATCGCCCAGAGTTCCCCCATTGGGGGGAGGTGGGCGGTTGAAAAATTTAATAAATAAATAAATAAATAAATAAATAAGGCAACCAGGACTGCCGGAACTGTCACTGCTCAGTGGTGCAGTCACATATAACAACCACGCTGTTTAGTGACAAGGTTTCTGGTCCCATTGTGGACATTAAGTGAGGACTACCTACACTGTAGGGGAATTTACCAATCCAATTGCTTTCTTTAACTTCCTCTGCATTAAATCAGGAAGGACTGCACCAGTCACCGGTGTCCAATAAAATCTATCACTTTTTTTTTTTACATTTTAAAATGTACTTTAAAATATTTAAGGAACAAAATCAATGGCTACATAAAAGAGGAAAGTGAAAAGGACACCTGGATGGAAAATAAAATAACAGCAAAGAAACAGAGAATTTATATTGTCCTACAATTTAAAATTCATTATTTCATTGATTAAATAATTAATGGAATATATAAAATTAGACTCATGAGATCATTCTTGAAAAATAATCAATCTCTCTTACCATCAGAGACCAGCATCAGTCACCAGTATCATTCCCAGCAGAATTGAGATCAGGACCACAATTGTTATGCTGATTTACTTTTCTGCTAACCAAAAGACTGCTGGAAAACTACTTAATGCAGCTCTCTGGGAACACCTTAAAAATTATTTGCCTCTTCAGGCAGAGGCCCTCCTTGCTACATGGTGGCCTAGAGCAATGCTGCCTGATGGATGGAGTGAATTCCCAACTTAATTGTGGCTGTTTGTTAGATTTATATCCTGTTTTTCCTCCAGAAGCACAGAGAGATTTGCACAAGGATCACCCCTTGGTTTTTTCCAACTCCCGTTGGATTGGGAGACTGTTAAATGTGGGGCTCACAATTTAATAATCAATCTGCTGGGATTCAATAGTTAATTGTGTTGCTTCTGAAGTCTTGGAATAACCCTTGGATGAACAGTGGATGCTAATCTGTTCACCGGGAAAGCATCAGACCTCAGCCAGTAACCTCAAAATAATGCATTAATCCATTGCTTTCATCCTTCCATCGCTCTACCTGTCTCCCCACACTCCTTTTTTCCCCCCCAGGCTTTTGAACAACAACTTGCTGAAGGACATAGTGCAAAACTCCTTTGAAGGGCTTAAGAAGTTGAAATACCTGTGAGTATAGACATTCAGCTTTTGACATTCTCTAAATCAGTGGTTCTCAAACTTGGCAGCTTTAAGATGTGTGCACTTCAACTCCCAGAATTCTCCAGCCATGCTTGGGTTGCCAGGTTGAAAAACACCGCTCTAAATCTTTGCAGTTGGAAGCTGAAATAACTTCATACAAGTTAAATCTCAACCATTGGCTTCTTTGCCTAACTTGCAATGCCCAAATAAGCCATATTATGCATTTACACCAGGATTCCTCAATCTCAGCAACTTTAAGATGGGTGGACTTCAACTC